ACCCCACTGTATGCCATATTCGACCACTTCCACAGTACCCTTCTTACCTTTTCTCTGCCTTTATGTGTGTTTGTCTCTTTTACATCTTTGAATCACTCTTCTGTCCCCCCTCTCTGTGAAGATCGAAGTTAACTAAAGGGCTAATGATAAATATCAAAACGCCTTCCATTTAAAATAAGTAAAATAAATTGATTTCGACAATAGCGAAAATGAATGACAGATAGCTTTCCTTGGAAGATATGATAACTTTCTGATACTCTAAATTCACGGATTTCATAATTTTTTTTATAACGGATCTTTTATAATAGTATCAGTGTTAATTATTCAATTTGACAATCAAAACGACTTACTTATTCCATTCGAGACATAAAACCATTCATTCGAAAAACATATCCCTATGACTAATTCGGAGATTGGTATCTTAAAATTTTAAAATAATAAAATTGGCTTAAAATTCGAAGCGTACTGTAAAGCCTACCGCCACACAACTTTGCATGTCTCGTGCTCAAACTTCTTACACACGTTGGGTTCGAAGACTTGGTTTCCGCTCCGGACCCCCTAGATATTTGCAGCAACAAATAATAAAACATTTTCTCTTCTCTGCCTTTTCAGCACCTTAACAGCGCAAATGTTGGTAGCGCTAGTGAGTGTACACCGCTAACACCTTAGAACTAAGCGGTCTCAAGAGACATCGAACATTTTGAAGCGTAGAGCTATGTCGTTGATTGCATTATGGAGCGAATGAGGTCGTACAAGCAGAAGAATCTCAGTTACCCAAAACCTATCGTTATTACGAGGTCAGTATACCCAAGACAAACTTTAATGGGTAAGGTATCTGCCAGAAATATCATAATCACCACTAACTCATATATTACATTCTCCCTTCTCCATATTGACGAGGTAATTTTGGCAATTTTGAATGATATTCATACTAGAGGATATTGATATAGAAATTGATGCGACTTTTCAGGACTAATTTGTTTGGAAATTCACCACAGATGCACTTATAAAAGGCAGTGCTTCAGATTAAAAATCATCTTGTAATTTTTTAACTCAAACAATAAAACACATGACTAATAATTTAAAATACAATACAATATTTAGGCCAAAATAATTTTTACATCAAAGCGGAAATAGAATTTTAGGTAAAATTATATGAAATTTAGGTTAGCCAATGAAATTCAAGCATGTTAGCGGTTATAAACGATTTAGACACAAACTAGCCGCCTGTTTCCAGTTGCAATGGTGAGTTGGGCTGCTTTGAGTTAAAATGAGATCAAGATTATTTGGCTTTCTTAATTTATTATTGTTATGTATTTCTGTTTCAAGGACATCAGTTTAAAATGAAATTGCAATTTTGATCTTATTTTAAAATATTTTTTAAAAAAAATTAGTTATGTGTGCTAAAAGCACGTTTAAGAATTACCATGTATTGTGATTAGATGGGTTTTCTTCACTTTTTTCTTAATTTCATTAATTTCCTTTTAGTCTGACTTTAATAACGATTTGGAGCAATACAAGGAGCAGACCAAACGTGATGGCGAGAACCTAGTTCGTAACGTTTTTCCTAAACGCGTTTTTGAAATGCAAGAACTTCTGAATTCCGCGTTATTCAATATGGGTATGTCGTAAATAGGCATAGTTTTGTTAAGTTTGTATTTAAGGTTTTGTCTTTGACTTGTTCATTATTCTTGAGAAGCATTTCTGTTAAACTCCCGTTTTATTCCGCATCCTAGATCGTTCTAATGTCTTCCAAGTCGTCAACCTCCCCGTACCTCTTGCAACTGAACAAAACGGCTTTGATAATAATTCGAATAACAAGCCATCCTTTGGTACTCCTGTCTTCACCTTCCCAGGTGGCAAAATATCACATAACGTTCACATCAAGAAAATGATCGAGGTAAGTCTCACACGTGTTTAAGCGTGACTTCTCAAGTAATTTAGAGTTTGTTAATCGACGACAATTTTTTTCCCTCACTGATGGCAATTAAGATATAGCTATATCTTCATTGTTGGGCTTCTTTTATAGGTTCGGTCGTAATTTCTTACCAACGTCTTATACGTATCAGTTTTATTTTCCATGCTTCACCGCGTTAGAAAACTTAAAAATTGTTTTTTGGTGAAATATGTACCGAAATAACCAAATAGTGGTTGACAGTTCTTAGCTATGTCTGAAATTAATGTTGACCCTGATAAGCGGTTCAATAATCCATGTGGAGGCACTCTTTAGCCAATCTTTGTAGGTTTGGCGCTTAAAGTACTGAGAAGCCACAGATTGTGTGGATCTATGCCATAATGCCTTTCATTCCTTTTTTAATATTTTCTACGATAAAGCCATGTTCTACAGCTATTCCTATTTACTTGAATTGACGATTGCTTGTGGCTATTCGCATCACCTGCCATGTCTAATGAGCATTTATCCCGTGATTTCTAACTTATCATCGGCGCTTTAATAATTGCCAGTTACTAGCATATTCAGTTCATGTTTGGTTGAATGTTTTGCTTGTTTTTGTATTCCTGCAGACCGCCAAGCCTTATTTGACCCAATTGATGAGGGAAGCTCAGATCGTTCGGATGTGGATTCAATTCAACGTTCCACGAATCGAAGATGGCAACAACTTTGGAGTGGGTATTCAGGAGGATGTTCTTGCCGAGGTCTCCGGAATTGAACGCGACGCTCTAACATTCCTTGATCAATTCACGAGGTGAGAGTTCAGCTCTTATATCCCGGGTCAGATGTTCTAAAAATTAGAACACGCATTTTAAGCTCTTTCACATATATTCTAACTATCTCTTTCGCTCTAAATGATCATAATACTTCTCCGATTTAAATTCACAAGCTGATGATATATTTGATTTCATTTGAATCTTTGTCATCCGATATGCTATCTCTTTGCACGAGACTGCTGCAGGTTCAAAGCACATGTGCCATAATTTTATTGTTTATTATTAAATAAACATGATATTGCGATAAAAATTAGATACTGTAATTACATATTGAATAAGCGTGAATCTGAACTCCAGATTGTGAGCTAGATTAACAGAAGAGTGTGGATCTAGTGAGATGTCGAACGAAAGGAGGTAGTACAACGGTTGCAATTTCTGGAGTTCTTCCCTCTACCCTTTTCAAGTACTGTAAGCTCTCCTAATTGTGGTCTTGGGGGTTGTATAACCCATGAGGTTCTTAAATTTCTTTGATATTTAACGTCTGGCTCTTTTCAGGTCAAATGTCTTAATGCATTTGAAATCATCCTACGTCATATATTGATTGAGCCGTTAATTTATTTACTCAATATATAAACAGCGGAACATCTGGGCCTCCACCCTCCAAAAGGTGAAATGTGCTCAATTAAGTGCTTATCAATTTGGAAAAAGGAGGATTATGGATCCCCCCCCTCCCTTTATCTTGACAACAGACTGATGAGAAGTGCCTTATTTCATTAAGCGTTCTACCCTGTAACAACACGATGCCAATGTTCACGCTTCTCAATCCCCAAACTTTATTTCTTGATAAGGTTCATTTTATGGGCATTATAACACCACCCACGCGTTGATCAGACTACATTGCTGAGAATAAGGTCACATCTTAATGTATTGCATTTTTTGAATTTTTTTTGGTTTTTAAACTGAAAGTAGGTTGCAAGGAGCTATTGAATTTGACTGCATTACCTGGTGAAATTTCATCTTAATTTTTTTATTAAGAATTTTTGTTTACTACAATAACCGATGTGTGAGAGTTAAATTTGACATCATCTTACAAACTGATTGTTGGCATATATCTGACGCATTAGAAATATTTATTTATATCAAATGGCAGGCTTCTTATGATAGTTATCATTAGCCCTTTAGTTGACTTCGGGCTTAACAGAGAGGAAGGAACATCAAATTGAAAAAAAGTCGAGAGGGGGGGGGGGGAACAGAAGAGTGTTTCAAAGGTGTAAAAGAGACAGACACAAAGGTAGAGAATAGGTAAGATGAGTACTGTGAAAGGGGTCAAATATGACATACAGTGGTGGGATGGTAGGTTGAAGTCAGAAGTCAACTGCCGATTGATAGACTTTTGCCCCATGAGTATGCGTTGCCCAGGTTGCACCACGTGGAGGTGTAAGTCTATCGCATCAGAAATATAATGCAATTTTTTCCTCTCATTTTGTTAGACAGTTTTAAATAGCGTAGTTGACCATTCATTGGATGTGGGCATTCTTTTGTCAACGAATTCGTGACTTCTAACTTAATAGGCACATGCTTCCCTACCTATATACCACTAGTCACTAATATTTTGTACTTACTTGAGCATATTTGTTAGATTTCGGTTTTATGCTTGTGTTTAAGCTTTCGCTCCTGTTGGGTGTTCTAAAATCGCCCTTTCGCTTCCTATTGAAACAACCAGTAGTGCCTTGTTCTATCGCAAGCTTTTGTAACAGTTTTTGTTTTTCACTTTGAATTTGAATGGGATTTTAAATATCAATTTGGGTTCTTATCTCATGGCAATTAATAACATTTTGTGTGTTTTTTACCTATTTTATAATTTGTTTCAACAATATTAACAAAAGTTTTTTGTTTTTTTTTGATCATCTACTCTTTGGGTCGTCATTAAGTGGATATGAAAGAGGTACGTATATTGGCCCCCTCGGTATTCGATAAAGAATGGTGATCCTTGCTAACGCTGTAAATTGGCGGCATCTTGGCCTCATAATATCTACAAAGTACACAACGAAAGTGGCATAGCCATATTTACGAAAGTGCTGAGAGAGTGAGAGAGAGAGAGAGCTCTGTGTAGGGGGGGGGTGTGG